AAAAAAAAAAAAAAAATTAAAACAAAGAGCTATGAAGTAGATCTCACTTTTCAGATAAAAATGCTCCTTAATAACTTATGTGATTGTTTCAACAATTTCATTTTCGAAGAAAGAGATAAGTCAGTGGTAGATATGTTGGTAGGCATTCAAGTGAAATTGATGCACATAATTCATATGAAGCGAGATAAGTTAAGAGATTATAATGTGACATGTCAGACAAGTTATCAAATCTTTTCAATTTTGCAAGCTTCATTTATTCAGTGATAGATGTAGTACCAATTTTCAAAGTTTAGTGACTAACATGGACAATTTTAAAGTTCAATGTCATGTGGAAACTTTACGAAAAGTTCAATGACCATTTATGGAATTAACCCATTTTTAATTGATAAAAAGAAAGAAAAAAAATGAAGTCAAATACGGATTGTTGAACACTACTATTAATGAAACTTTAACACCAAGTTGGGAATTGTGCTAAAGTTTTTGGAATTCTTAACAGGCTTGTCAATAATAGAGAGAGGACTCTTTTTTACCTTTTCTACGGTTCTCCCAAGAATAAACTTACATAGGGTGTATGATTCCACTTTTTTTTAAAATATTTTTTTCACCCTCTTCATTTTAACCACAAATTCTTTATTAAAATAATATTATATGTAAATTAATAAAGAATGTGGCTCAAATTACCCATTTTTGCCCATGTTTGGCCCCATACTTATCTCATTCTCATTCTTTTTCTGTCTTTTATTTTCAACCACACAATTTTTTATAAAATAATATTACATACAAATCAGAAACTTTTCATTCTTTTTCATCCACACATTTTAAAAAAAAACACTATTTTTTTCCCTTTCACGTTTTCCTAGCTTTATGATACTTTACCCTATTTGAGTCCTATTATTCTAATTTTTTTTTTTTTTGTGTCAATCTTATTTTTCAGTCATACATTTTATCAATATAATTAATTAGGGTTGGACATGGTCTCGTGAGAACCAAATTGAACTAGAATTTTGGGTATTTAGTAAGTGAACCGTTGAGTCCAAATTTAATTATGGAATCATTCGGGTTCAGGTTCATTTGGTTCTCGAATTTTGTATAATAATTAATTTTTTTTTTGTATTTACAACAACTTTACATTAATTCAAATATAACATGTCAAATCTTAGCTTTTACAAAATAATGTAGTCCAATCTTATTATATCTTTTGCATATCTCTTTGTTGAGTTTTTTATAGATGTGACTGTTAAAATAATAAAAATAAGAAAAATAATGAGCTAACAATAATGAAGAGAAGCGCAACTGAGCTTCCAATTCGATTTCTTTAGAATGACGAAAATAGTAGAATAAGATATTCGGATAAAATTTAGATTAATTTGATTAAATTGAGCTTGGTTCAAAATTAGAAATAGAAAAATCATATTTTGGTATTTCAAAAAATAAAATAATTTAACTTATTTAAGATAAGAAAAAAAGTTAAAAAGATTAGGGAAAATTGGTTCTTCGTCTAGAACCGAGAACAAAACTAAACCCATCATTCTCGATTTAGATACTGGTTCTAATATTTAATTTAAAAAGAACTGTTCAGTTTAGTTTGAGAGTTTTGTCCAGCCATAAATATAATAATTTATACTTAAATTCAATTTTTTTTTTTTTGCTTAATACTAATCATATATTCTTAAAAAAATCACTCTTACAATTTTTTTAAAATAAAAAATATTATTTGCGATACTGAGTCGGCAAGAATATGCAGTCTAAACATTATAAAAAGCCACAGCCAAACGAAAATTTTGAACATGAAATTTGGAATGCGAAAAATAATAACTTAAAAATCCTATATAAACAAATTTAGACTATATAAGTCATTTCAGCACGACTCCTAAATACAAAAATAATAAATAAATAAATAAATGTGAGTGCCTAA